AAGTCTTTTTCAGTTAAAGTTTTTTATTAAAATTGGTAACTTTCCTAAAAATTCATGCCTGAGTGGAAAAGTGTTTAGATAAATTGGTGCATTTCCAATGAAAAACATTGCGATGAGAAATTCTCATTCAGCTCTACTTTTGTTCAGCAGAGGAGGATTTTTTTTTTTTTTTTTTAAGATGAGCATTTTTATATTCTAAGCTAATTAAATTAGTAGTCCTTTGACTGTTGTACCTTAAGGTTTCTTTTGTTTCTTCAGGTAACTATTTTACAGGCTTGAAATCCACTGAATATGGAAGGAACAGCTGCTATAACAAATGTACCCTTTGATGCAAGCAGTATAAAACATGAGGAGGTCTGGAAACTGAGAAATTACATAGCTTTAAGGTGTCACAGATGCAATAGGAGAACCCCAAGCAGGTCCCATTAACAACCTGTTCAGGAAAAAAAACAAAACAAACCAAAAAAAAGTGGTGAAGAGAAGCTTTTTAGAAAGGTTCAGGCATATGTTTTCAAATGCAAAAATGAGACACATTGAATGTTTCATTGGCATTCCATGGAGAAGAGAAATAGAAAACATCCTTTCTCCTGGTGGGAGAAAAAAAAGGGTTCTCCTCTCACTGTTATTTTCTGAGATTTCACATTTTTGCTTGCGTTAGGGGTGGTAGCTATTGCACAATTTATTAGCAAAGGTCTGGGCTGGAACCAGAACTTAATCCTCTCAGATGGTAGCTTTCCTACTCATTTTTCTACTCAGCTGACCTTTGCAAGTTAGTAGTCGTGGTGTGTAAAACGCACAGTACTGGAAACTTTCTCCACTCACAATCTATTACTGGAGTTGAAGGCAATTAAGTATAAATGAAATACAGAAACAATCGGGTCCCAAACTGTGCATCTTTAGTATTTAGTATTTATTTTCATGAACAGGATCATTACTCTAGTTTTAAAGCTAATATAGCTTTTGCAATAAAAAGCTACCAGAAATTTTGTTGGTTATCTACTGGCCTCAGAAAGTATTGCACAGGTCTGGATTTCTCTTGTGTTCTGCTGAAAGAAAAAGCAAAAACTTTCCCCTCTGCATTAGCTTACAAACTACAACAGCTCCTAAACAAACAAGTAACTCCTCTTCGATATCAGGGTGAATCTCAGATGAGGAAAAAAAATCTATTTTCATGTTTTCTAGAAATAGTTGCCCAGAATCTGATATGGCTTTTCCTTTCTATTTTAAGCTACGGGAGATTCCACTGTTTTGATGTACTTTTGGCAGTTATTGCATGGAAAAATCTAAACGTGTATATATATTTAACATCAATTCCAGTGCATATTATAAAACATCTCTGAAGCAAGAACAAGGAAAGGGGAAAAGGGGTGGTAGTAATAGCACAAAGTGACATAAATCACTTTTTTGGTCACTTTTTTCCTTTAAAATAGCATCTCATACAACCTGGATGTAGGTGGGAAGCCTTGATGTGGTTCAGCATCAAAATCCACCTACAATGCCGCGTTATTTCTCCCTATGTACAAACTGGATTAAATTACTCATGGGAAACTCTTACTAGATCTATTTAGACTTTCTTCAAATTTTTTAAATGGAAACGATGCCTTGCTTTAGTAGTGTTGACTGATGTTCCCGTACACAGTGTTTGAACTGTCTCATGAGTCCAGGCAGAATGCCTTCCCCACCTGAGGCTGCAACGGTCTTATATTGCGAAATCAGTCAAGGTGACGTACTGACAACAACACTGTTGATTTAAATAGGATTTTCAGGGTCATCTAATTACGTCAAACAGGGTGGAGATGACTGGTTTATCAGAATTACTGTTTTGCTTTAAAAGATATATATATATGTGTGTGTAGATGTGTATATATATATATATGTGTATATCTGCATTTGTCAGAAAATTAGAAGAAAAAAATCACTATTTCGTTTAGAGTTAAAAGAGGAAAGAAGTCAGTGAGAATTGTAGAAAGGTTGCTGTGGAAACAAGGAAAGGAACAGTGAAAAATGTCTTTCAGGAATTAGGTCAAGAGAAGTTGATTGAAAATCTAATATCTCTAACTATAAAGAAATCTTTCAGGAGGAGATTGTTGTCTTTTTCTGAGGAAAAGTTCAAGAACATATAAAGTATCTGCTATGTTAAATGCATATACTTTCTATAAATCTGTAGATGAGTTTATGGCAAGGAAGGAAAACAGGGTAATGAACAGGGTAATTCTGAAACTGAGAAAAAATAATGAAATAGATTTCTAGTTGCAAGGATGTGCTGGACTGAAAAAAATGGACTGTTTTCTTTCTGCTTACAATTTGTTCCTCCTAAAGAGGTACTGGTTCACGTGGTCAAGTACACCAAGAAACGTGTGAGGAGAATCTTAGGAAGAAATGCTCTCTGTGCCAATACATCTGCTTTCTGCAGTTTGTTGGATTGGGGCATTTTGACTACTAGTGGCAGAAAATGGCACTGTGGCTCCCAAAGATACGATGCTGTATGGCAAAGTTATGTGTTAACGAAGCTGAAATCCATGTCAGGATTTTCATTAGGATATACCATTCACCTTATTTTTTAATACTATGGTTGATGTGCCACAACTAGAATACCAGTAAGAATGGAAGAAGAAAAAATCAGGGTATTCATAATGCTTCTGTTCAAGCAGTGTCACCTGAGAGCTGAGAGCACGAGCGCTGGTGTGGCAGGATTTATGAGCTGCTATGCTCTCTATTATTGTTTTGCGCCTTTCTTGCAGAGCATAGTGGCCATAAACTGGCTCAGAGCATCCAGAGCTTATTGCTGAGTCTGCTGTCAAGTTTTAATTTTGGATCTAGGTCATGCTGTGCTTTCCAGCATTTTCAAAGACTTGTTGGAGGAGTTAAGGATGTAATAAAATGTCTTGTGGGGAGACTAGTCCCAGTGAAGAGCTGTATGGTGGCATAAAAGAGGAACAATTTTTTTTTTCCCCTGCAGAACATCTTAATTTAAATCTTATTGTTACTATGTCTGTGGATGAAGAAACCTGAAAGCTATTTAACATATTTTTAGCTGCCCTGGATGGCAGGAAAAGTTGCAGGGCAGATGTTAGCACAGAGTCAATATGCGTCCTCCAGAGGAGCAGTGCTCTGGTTACTGGTCCCAGGTGCATGTGCCCAACAAACTGAGAATAAATGACAACTGCAGGCTATCAGGTAGCTTCTCTCAAATGCAACAGACAAAATACAAGTGGAATGGGAAATATTTCACTTTATACAATTAGGAAGAATTATGTTCAGAAAGGAGAAGTATTAGATGAAATTCAGAGCTCTGAGGTGCGTTTTTTCTAGGCTGCTTCTAAATGTCTGCCTACAAAATCCTTTACCAGCAGTCTTTTGAACAAAGCTCTGCTGCAGCCCAGACGTCGTTTTGGTAACGAGATGAGACTTATTACGAGACTGAAATTAATTTCTCTCTTTTAAATTTGTCTATGTAAAGCAGTTATGAAATTGCTTACAGCAATCGAGATTCTGGTAATTTGCCAGCTTTTTAACAGATAAGCAGTTTTGAAATAATTATTTTCCAGTAGTGTCATTGAAGTTGAGAACATTTTTGTTCCTCCTACTCCTTCAGCTTTCTTTTTAATTAAATATGGGGGTGGGGGGCGCACAGTTTCTAGAAATGTATAACGCGCAGGATGTGAATATCAAATGTGAATATTGTAATATTGTGCTTCTCTTTCCTTTCTCATGTTCCCATGAAACGTTGTAACACTTAGTACAACTTCTGTACTGTTCCCTTTTGTAAGATACCTGTTTTAGGGCTACTTAAGCTGTGTTGCAACCTACTCTATAACACTGTTCTCTGAATCTACCCAAGTGTTATATGAAAATATCTATATGCTGCTTTGTGTTTGGCTGTAAAAGAACAGCAGTGCTCTAAAGTTATGTAAAAACTAAAATTGTGGCAAATAATAAATGGACGTATTAAAATGCATTTCACTCCTAATCAAGATGGTGGTATCTAAATGAAAATTTACTGTGGAAAAGAGAAGGGAATGTAAGGAGCAGGTTTTTCTCTCCTTGGCATTATCCTGAGCTTGCTGTTTAAGCCAGCAGCATCTTCACTGAGTTGCTGCATGGGGCACATGGTCTCTTTGAGGCTCCAAAGAGTTGCTGGCCCCCCTCTGCAAGGAACCTGGGTGCTAGGAAGCAGACTAGGGACAGTCTTTATAAAGTCAGAAAAGGGCTATATTCTGTGTCCCTGGAGATGAGATGAGGGGGCTGACAGGGGAAAGAGGGGGAGAAGAGATGCTCCCGCAGGCAGAGGCACGATGCTTCTCGGGTTGGAAAAACTGTTCCCCAAGGATGGACTGCAGACATGGCTGCATGGCATGAAGGAGTGCAGAGTTCGTCTCTGTGGTTGATTACACAGTGGTTTCTTTTTGGTCTCAGGCGGAAAAAGTGACTGATTAAGACATTTTATGCCAGAATATCTGTGGTACGTGTTCTCCAGGCGAGCAGGAGGTGTGATCAACTTGCAGATTACTTGTTTAGAATGATGAGAGCGTACTCACTGCAAATTAAAATGTTGCTCAAATCTACAGGCCGTTATTCGCAAGTTCAGTTACAAACTTACTGTATTTTTTACTTTGTGATTTCTCTGTGTGAACAAGAGAGAATTATTGATAAGTTAAAAAAAATAATAAGAGCAGGCTACTAATTTTTTTGAAGGATAACCCCAAAGCTATGAATAAAAGGTCTTTATGAGAACAACAGAATTGTAGGAAATATATAGTATTAATTGATGAAACTGGGTGGGAAACAAAGCAAACGAAATGGATTTACTAGCTGTTTTCCTTTTGTCTTGTTTAGTTAGCAATATGTTTGGAATACTTGCAATGCAATAGCTTTCAGAAGCAATGACAAAGTGTGGTAATTAGCAAGATATTAATAGAAAGAAAAGTAATTGAGATATTTTATTACTGATGCAAATTTACTGAAGCATCTATTCTTTGTCTTTTTCTTTTAATTGTCAGAGACAGCCAGGAGAAGCTTCTTTACGTAATGGCTCTATGAAAGTTTTGGCCTTATTTCAAAAGAAATTCTCCGGAAGATAGATGTCTGTGTGAATCTTTGGCCATGCTACCAAAAAATCAGCATTATTTTTTAAAGTCAGAATTCTTTGCAGACGTAAATGGGCCAAAAATATGAAATGGACCGGAGAAGAAATCAAAGCACCAGCCAACATACTGTGTTTTGTTGGCCAGCATTAAATAGGTTGGTAAATATCTTGAGATGTTGTCCGTTGTCGGATCAAACCCAGAAACACCCACAGGTCCCTAAGACTGCATGCCTGTGTGTGCATCATCTTCAGTCTCAGTGCCATCCTAGCCAAGAAATAAGATTAACCCTAGCTCCTTCAAAGGAATCCATGCAACCCAAATGAGAAAATCCAGAGCTCCAAATTAGAAACTCCCTGATGAGAGCAATCCCTGATTTTTCTCTATGTTCTGGTCTGCCTTTGGGACTTAATTGTCATTTCCCTCTCGCATACCCATCATTGTTAAACTGGCACGTCTCCCTTCTTTCCAGAGGAATTACCTTTATTAAAATGATCCTGCCAGTTCCTAATGGTTATGCGGTCAAATGACAGACATGTTTCCCGTTGGCATTCCTCCGTCCCTCTGTTGCTAGACTTAGCAGGTACTTATTACAGTGAAACAGTTGTGAAGAATAAACTGTACTCTTAATGCATTTTGTTTATAGAAATGTGGGCTTTTTTGCTCTGCATGGGGGCCTCGTTATAGTTTTAAAGCTAAATATGAAGTTCTGGCCTCCCTGATATGGCAGAGGAGAAGAATGAGGAGGGAGGAAATGTAGGCAGAAAAAAGACGCTCAGAGACCAGCCACGTGCTCTGCCTCCTTTAGGGCTGCAGAAACATCCAGAGGGTTGTCTCCACGACAGCAAGGGTGCCATGTCGGCTCCTGGTAGGAATGCCTTCCTCCTGAAAGGGGCAGGGGAAGGGAAGCAGCACTGTGAAGATGTGGGGGCCTGGCCTGGTGAGCAGTCACCTTGGGGACTTCAAAGAGTCTCCGGCCCCTATGCATGCTCCTAGTTGCTTGGCTTTGGGAAATTAGCAGGAACGCTAAGGCCACAAACTCTCCTCTTTTTGGCAGGCTACATCTTCTTGTTGGTCACTGTGGTAGCCAGAGCAATAAGAACAGTCAGGAGTGCAGATGTAGGCAGTTAGGCTTTAGCCTGACCATAAGACTTTCTCAGCTGTAAGAAGAATTTCAGAAGAGCAGAGTAAGGGAAATAATTTTTGCTTAATGAGTTACAGCATCTCATCAGTCACATATCACACAACACACAATTTTATGAACTGTTAAACTTTGGCTGGATATAAATGGATTGTAACTGATAACCTATAAAAATTAGTAGTTATTTTGAGGTTTTTAATGGACTAAAAAACATTGCAATACTAAAAACCTGAGGTTTTAAAGACTGAAAAAAACCAGCACAAAAACACTGGAAAAGACTGGAAAACAGCAGAATCATCAGAAGAGCGTATTAGCAGAACAGCTGTGTATACACTTGGTTAAGCATAACAGACCTGTCATCAGAAGGTATCCAATATAACAGGAAGGAGGTAACCAAACCCAGGAACTTGAAAATGGGGATTTGTGAATTTGTAGGAAAGGTGGAGAACAGGATCTAAAAGATGCTTGAAAGTTAGTACTTTGGCAGAGTTGTGTTCCTGGATGCTGTTGATCTCTTCATTAGCTTGTAGTACAGTGGCCAGAACCATCTTACCACAGGGTTGCATGGTCCCAGCAAAGGTCTGTAACCTGTGCCGTTTTATGGTTTTTTGCTGTTTAGTGTATTTGATGAGCCATATTCCATTCAAGTTAAATGAGAGTTTGATAAACCTCCAAACCGTTTCATTTTCATGAGTTCTGTCATTCTCCACCCTACAGGAGGAGCGTAACCATTTCCTCATTGACCTATGGGATCAAAATGGAAGTCAAACAATGCAAGGCCTTAATCAGTATTGGTAAGTGAATATCACTGAGTAATTGATTTCTGTCCTTAAGGGAGTTTTTATTGCAGCCTGTTATCGTAATGTGTGGTCAGCAGAGCTGAACTGGTCTAGACAGAAAATAAAGGCCTTCAGTGAAAATGAATCTTTTCAAATGTAAATTCAGAAAACACTAGAACAGAGGGTTATTTTTTCTCCTTTGAGTAAATGCAACTTTTTTTTTAAACAGCACCAGCATTTTCTTCAATTAAGAAATGCAGTAAACACTGGAATTATTCATGACGTTATATAACTGTACAGCGGCTAGTTATCTCTCTCCCCTTTGTTATTTTTAAGGACCTGTTTACTGAATTCAACAGTAAAATCTCATTAATAGTTAAATACTTAATTTTCTTTAGAGAGAAAAAAATAAGATAAACATTCTATTTTCTTAGGTAATTTGTGGTTATGAATTGAATGACTTGTGTAAAATCAATGTTAGTAAATTATGTATAAGATTTTTTTTCAGCCACCCATAAATACAAAGCTGATTTAAGAAAACAGAGGACGTACTAATGGAAATACAACTTCAGGCAGCGATAAGATTTTTGTGTGTATGTTCCAATTTATATGAAATTGATTTCTCACTACCACTGGCAAACCAAGCCTTGTGTCAGTCAACTCAACACACGTACTGGCAGGTGAACGCTTAAATATATAGTTTTCTGCTTACTTGGTTGCTGCTGTAAGGGCCTGTCTGACGCTCCTTTGCCACCACGCACGCACTCCTGCACATCTTTGCAAGGTTAGGGCCCACGTTTCACACGTTATTCTGGGCAAGCCCTTCTACATCATGTATATGCCATCCAGTACTCTTTTTCTGAATCCACATCTGCACGCATGCCCCATGTAAGGATGGCGCCTCTCACGAGTGAGACAGGAAAGTCACTTCAAAGTTACTCTTGGAGTCAGTGGCTGAGGTGGGAGCAACGTATTTTATACAGGCAGGAGGGAGGAGGAAACTAACGCTGTTTATGGCATGCAAGTAAGTAAGGTTCTGTTGGGCTCCTGATTGGGAAACTTCATAGTTCCCGAAACTGGTATCACCAGTGTCATCAAGGTTAAAATTCTCAGCTGATGAAAATCATCACAGACCCATTACAATTTAACGGTTCAGAATTCTGCTCTCATGAGGCCCAAGTAACTTCGGTTTATTACGCTAGGCATAAACAATGGTGGAAATCTGGTCAGGAGGTTCTTTTACCTTCCTTTTTTCAAAATAATTAATATATTACTCTCATTATTTCTTTATGTATTAAAAAACTGAAGAGAAAATTTAGCAAATAATTTTTGGTCAGCTATGCGTGCAACACAGATCCTGTTAACACGCCTAGTTCTGTTAGTTGCGTCGGTATAAATCAAAGCTCAAAGACGACTATTCCTAATCGGCACTGACGAGCGGCATGTGGAATCTGGGAGACCATCTGCGCTGTCAAAGAAATGGAGAATCACAGGCTACAGCCATTAGGGCAAAATACAACTGGTCTCTTGGAACGTGTTGCAACTTTTCTAAGGGAGAGAAGTACTCTATTTTCTTAGATAACTTATGTTTATGGTAGAAGATATGTGATGTTGCCGGTAAGGCAATACGTGAGTGAGGCTAGGTGAAGGTTTTTTCTTTTCTTTCAAGAGGGAATTAAAGAGAAAAATACAAATTCCTTGAGAACTGAGGTGCTTAGCACGGGGGCTCTGTTTTCAGCTGAGGAAGTAGATGGTTGGTTAGGGAGTAAGAGGGAGTTTTGTCTCTGAAATAATCAAGATGACGTGTGGGGTACTGCATCATAGATGAAGAGGGAGTTTTTCTGTTTTAGTTGCAGTTATCCTGAAGACCTGAGAAGGATTTGCTTAATAACTGTTAAAATGAGGTCTGAAACCAGATATAACATTGAGATTTGCTGAACAATGCAGTGTTCAAGGGAGGGAATAAGTTGTCCAAGGTAATGAACAGGTTTACAGACTTGGAAAATGGTGAAATAGAAAAATGCATCTAGGTTAAAAGCAAACAATGAGTTTCCTGACAGGTACAAACATAGATCCTGAGTAAGGGAGGATGAAGTTGAGAGCACTGCATGACTGCCTGCTATGAAACCATCGTCTTTTGACTTGGAAACCTTCTAGAAGTCATATGAGGCTTAATTACGTGAATTCTCTAGGCCGTTTTGTGAACAACTTTCAGCACGACTTGTGAAACACTCGCTCTAGAAAGAGACATGAAGCACCCCAAACTTGTCAGTCTATGAATTTTGAATATGCCCTGCAGTGCTGAGTATGTCATTGTGAGCACACAGAGCTTACTTAAAAAGAGGACGATACAGACAAATTTAAAAGCGTGTAAAGAAAGGGTACTGAAAACCAGATGGTCTGTGCCTTCACAATATGCTTGTAAAATGAAACAGAATGAGTTCACACCACTAGCAGCGCTGATGATGAATTCCCTCCCCCCTCTGCCTTAATTTTGGGCTGGTAGTTTTATACTGGAAGGGATTTTGAGAAAGTGAGCAGATGAAGGTGAACAGCCTTGTGCACTTATTAGCCGCTTTGAAGATAGTTGCAGTTTTCAGGAGCGACAGCATATTGTGTATAATAAAAGAGCAGTTCCAGGAAGGCTTGGGAGTCGCTGAAAGTGTTAGTTTGTGGTTGGTGTTTTCTGCAGCTGCGTGGCAAATCCCTTTCAGGACTGCAGACCACTCAAAAAACCAAAAAGCCCCAACACTGTAAAAGAGATTCCTCTATTTAAAAAAGAACCCACTTGATCAATTTTACTTTAAAGGGGACTTCCTAGCTCACCATTTTTGGCATTATGCTTCCATTCACTTCAGTGTTCTCCTTTGCACCATGGACTCAAACCTTGAGGAGTTGTGTGCACAGGTCTTGTCTTAGTGACTTGCCCTTTTATTATATTCACTTGCCTCTCTAAAATCATTTGGATGACCTGTATTTCTTTCAGTGGAAAAAAAGCCCATACCTCGTTAACAAACCCATCAGAGACAGGAAATCACAGAGGAATACTAAGGGAAGCTTTCAGAGATGCAGAGGGATGGGCATCCTCACCCTTTGCATCTTTGAAAGATTAGTTTTACTTTGAAAGATTACTGTTACTTTATATAGGGTTACATCATAAACTGCTGTTGATAACAAGGATACTCCAATGAGATAATATTATGCTATGAGCCATCTCCTCCCAAGAAGAGGAACGGGAGGGAGGGCGTTTTCATATCAGGTCTTCTGTAGGTAACCCAGAAAATGAGCTGTCGTGAAACGTGTTGCCTACAGAAATAGGCAGAAGAAATACGTAGGTATTACATCATGACAGCGGCTTATTGCAGAATAATATCTTTGTGTATGGGTGCATGCAATTCTAGGGACACTTTTGTGTATAGATGACACATCGCTGAGGGTATAAACATCTCTCTCTTAAGGATGCTCTCGAGGAAAGCCATTCGTCCAGGGAAAATGAAGCTTCAGCCTTTAACTCTACGTGCATGCTTTTTGCTAACATGATCTTTGTTTGACTCTGGTTTCACAGACGAACAAGGCTTTATGCACGTGCCTAGCAATTGATTCCTGCCAGTCTCTGCTTATCCACATGGCACGCTGTACTTTGTAAAGCTCCTCTGAAGTAGTGTACTATCATCGCATGGTGTCAGAGGGGAAAGATGAATAAGATTAATGTCACCCCTAGCAGAACCTCCTATTTCCTTCGTTAGTACAAGCCTTAGGAAAATCACAGCGCTCCTGGCTCTCTTGGACTCCGACGTTATGAGTGGCGAAGGAGCCACGGCCGTGTCTCAGGCCTTGGGAGTCTGCGCTGCCTGGCAGCTGCTTGCTGTGTTCCTGCCTAGGGTCAGCTCTGCAGCACTGCTCGTATGGGAGGGATTGCAGGACTGAATGAAAGAGTATGTTCTCCCCTTATCCCCAAACAGGTATTTTGTAACTTTTAAATAGTCATTGGTAGATAATGATAATACTTAATAATTACACTCATATATTTTTATGCTTATTGCTATATTATTAACTATTATAATTAAATAATTTCTTCTATAAATAGTCATTGATAGAAATTAACAGAAACTGCAGAATTCCAGGCAGACTGCCTCAAGTTTTTCCTTTGCTCAGTTGTTCCAATTTCAGCTTCTTTTCACTGACAGCATCAGAATCACTGTGCTTCCCCACCCTGCCAGGAAAATCAGGTTAGTCTGAACAAATTAAGGTGTGTTGGGGAAAGAGATTTTTAAATCTTTGTAACACAAGAAGGTGGACACAGAAGGCCACAAGCATATTTTTCACCTTTCACCTCGGAAGTCACCTTTCAAGTAAAAGTGATCAAGTTGATTCGTTTTGTTTTTTTAAAGATGGAGATCTGTTTTACAGTGTTGGGGCTTTTTGTTTGCTTTTTGAGTGGTTTACAGTCCTGAAAGATTTACCATGCAGCTGCAGAAAACACCAACCATAAACTAATGGAATGTGTCAAAGACCATAATTAGTTATTAGAGCTACTGGCATCATTATGGGCAACCTTAGAAAATTGCATCTTACAACATTCCCACCTCGCTGAGGGTTAGTTAATAGTTGAATGTTTCTTTCACTGGGGGGAAAGGGGAATGGAAGATTTCCCAGCAAGCATTACACGTTTCAGCGAGTAAGGGCTGTGTTCCTGTTGAGCGTTCAGACGAGAGTATTGCTGTGGTCTGAGACACGTCACTGTGGTATAATTCAGAGGAATGTAGTTAGGAGCCTCATTTGTTGATGGTGCTCTGACTTCAAATGACCGAGTTAGATGCCTGATGTTGGTGGGGAGACTGTCCAGCTACCTGGTCATCACTGTAGTCCTGTTAATAGCTATGAATGTCATCACATTTTTGACAAGGGACTGCTTAGAAAGTTGTGAAAAAGTGCTCGTTTATACAGGTTCCTGTGAAGAAGAAAGTGCTTTACAATATTGACTTGGTCATCATTTTCAGGATGTTCATGGAACT